CTGTTAACTTAACTTCCTTACAAAATAGCTCTGTATAACATTTAGTCAATTAGTGAAACATTTTAAGAGCAAACTGAAGAAAAGTTTTCATTTGAAACAGTTGAGCTTATTTGGAAATGTATCAAGTGTGATAAAATTAAACTTTCTCATGCAGGTACCTTGGGATAACGCAAGTCCAAGTTTTATTCCTGAAACACCCCAGAGTATGAGAGTTCGACTTGAGCGCATGAGACAAGAACATAGAGAAGGTGAGTGCATTGCTTCTGGTTTAGTAAATATATGAATCCTGCCAATTCAAACAAAAATATATATATTTTTGTTTGAATATTGGGTAAATATTCTGTGCATGTTGGCCAAAGTTTACATTGCACACGTTAACCCATGAACTGTCATATCATTATGGCTGCTACTGTGGTGTTGTGGCCAGTATAATCGATCTCTACTAAAATTAATATTATAAATGCAAATCAGAAGTTTTACAGGTTTTTTAAAAATCTTGGATAACTCTAACAAATTACACTTACTTCCTACTTATAGAAAACTAAGGTTAATTTTTCATGTACTCATAGTATTTTTTAAAACTTTTCAACCGAGCTAAAATTTTCGTAGGGGTTTTTGTTAAATCTTATCGTTAGGACTCAGGTGAAAAATAAAAGCCTAATTTATTTGAATTATTTCTGATGAAAGATAATATACGAGGGACTGCGTTGAAGCCGTGTAAAGTAAATAAGTAGTTGGAACAAGATGTGTTTAGGCTTGAAAATAAAAGATGAGACGATTAAATGAAAGTTTTGAATACATGCCATATTCAATGACAATACAATAAACAATTTATAAATTCAATGAAAGATAAAACATATGTTTTTGAAGATCTCTTAGTCAATCTGGCTAAACATTAATAACAGGAAGCGGTCTATGTTATTATTAGATGCGGAAGCTGAACTGCTCAAAACTGATGCGTGCATACATCTGTGGCAAAAGAATTTAAGTATTATTGATGTTAAATTTTAAATAAAGGCTCACTGGTAAGTGAGTTTTTCATTGTTTTCATATAGTGATATGGTGCCGAAATATGAATTAATATGTTTTAATTTTTTACTTACGCTGGTGTATTGGTGTATGAAATTAGAGCCGTGATAGATACATCTGATGGGCCTTGGTAGGAATAATTATGATAGTGGAGTTGGCCTAGCACTAGTGGCAGTTCGATTTCTAGGAGTGGAAGTAGTGGAAAGTAGGGTACAAGTGAATTTAATAGGTATTATATAAAGAAATATGTAGGTCACCAATGAATTTGATTTTTGATTTTTATTTCTGTAAACTCGAATAACTTCATGTTTTCTAAACTGAAAGAATAATGTTTTATGAGTATGAAAAACTTATTTAGATGATAAACATGAGCCCAATGTCAGTGTGTGCCTGAGTTGAAGAAAGGTACACATGAGCACAATTGTACTCACTGTACACATAAGCACAATTGTACTCACTGTACACATTAGCACAATTGTACTCACTGTACACATTAGCACAATTGTACTCACTGTACACATTAGCACAATTGTACTCACTGTACACATTAGCACAATTGTACTCACTGTACACATTAGCACAATTGTACTCACTGTACACATTAGCACAATTGTACTCACTGTACACATTAGCACAATTGTACTCACTGTACACATTAGCACAATTGTACTCACTGTACACATTAGCACAATTGTACTCACTGTACACATTAGCACAATTGTACTCACTGTACACATTAGCACAATTGTACTCACTGTAGAAAGGTCATATTAATATCAAACAGCTCACAGAATTCCAACATTCAAACCATATGATTCCTCGACCAAATTACTCTCAGAATACTTATACTTACATGGTTCTCTGGATTCATGCTCTATCAGTTTTCTAGTATTTTAGAGACACATATAAAAGTCATTGTCACAATCACAATGTCTTGTAAATAATACCAGAGGCGAAGTGGTTCAAATAATAGTTACCATTTTATTATACACGTTCAGTGACATTCACAATAAGAAATAAATCTCACAAAAGTAAATCTGAAAACACTTGGAACATATCAAATGTAATTTAATTCTAGATTCTGGGTAAACTTCTTTACTTGATAAAGTGTTAACAATCTTCATTTAAAACATAAACGATTTCTGTTCTATCTTCTTACATAAACTTCGTGAATCAACTGTCATATTATTCAACCTCCATTTCTTGTTTCCCTCCATGCTCTCCTTCTGATGGCCAGTTTCTCTAAGTCCCAATACTCTGTATATTATACAAGAAATAACTCCCATATATTCATATCTGTGACAGCTATTAAAAACAAGTTGAGCACAAAGTATGTTTGCATTTGACGGCGCATGGATTTTTTTTAGTCAATTTTTTTTTAGATATTAACATGTCAATTACAATTTACGGCTGAGTAGTAAAAGAATGAAAAAGTACCTTACCTAGTGAATTTGAATTCAGTGCAAATTTATTTTTGTAGTGAGCACAAGAAACTAGGGGGAACCAGATCAAAACAATTTAGTAGAAACCAACTGGGATTGGATTTTTTAGATGATTTTTTTTTACCAATGTTAACTATTGGTAAATTTGAGAAAATAGCTTAAGTCAAATACATTTTATTTAAGTATGTGAAATTGCATTTAAAACATCCTTTCAGATCTGATTTATGTATGTAAATAATTGTTTGAGCTTTGATAGTTCTGAAAATATTTTTTTTTCAATAGCATCAAAAAGTGATCAATATTGGTCATTGGTGCTCAGAAAAGCTCATCAACTTTATTTTATATTTCTCAGTTTTAAGTCCAGACTATGAATCTCCCCCTGCCACACCAAAACAGTTGCTTGTTCAAACACGACATCCAAGGCATTTATTGGGTAAGAGGGGACAACTTCTCAGCTTTGTTAATTTTCCTCTTATTTACAATAATGCAAAACCATTGATTGAATTTTTATAATACATTTTATTTTCAAAATGAGCCTAGTAAGAGTTCGACGGAGGCCTACTGATTATAAATTATGAAATACATATTATTTAATAAATGGTTCTGTGGAAAGGGAAAACTGAAAAGAGAAAAGAAAGATATTTAAAAACATATAATTATCAAGACAATAGTAACAGATGTAATGAGTACAACAGAAATCTAATAGGGAACTATTTACATCAGCACAAGTGGGTCAGAACTGATCACTTGTTAATATATGGTCACTTTTTATTGAACTGTTTAATCACTTTATCTTATTCAGACAAACTAGTGAGTTGCACCAGTTCTGAAAACAGCAATGACAACCAGGAAGCAATGTCAAGGATGGTGGCCGGCATCATACAAAACCTGGATTCAAGCAGTTCTAGTCAGTCTCCTGTCTGCAAGACAATGCCACAGAAAAAAATTCCCTCTGGGCTGGTCACAAACCTTGGTATGCAGAGTCTAAATAATCTTATCGGGACCAATACAGAGGAACATGAAATGATTTGTGATGAAAATTTCTCACTCTGTATAGAGAATGTCAGTATAAGGAAAAGCTATTCATCAGATTCTCGTACGAGTGCCAAACCACTTTCTCCACAAGACCTAAACACTGAGAAGTCTCCAGCCGGCTGGGAAGCTCCAAATGGCCGTGCCAAGCCCTGCCATGAGGAGAGCCCTCTGTGTTTGGCTGCATTTGGCAGTGAAGGAAATCAAAATGTATCTCCTTCAAGAGACACGCCAAAGGTGGCAGGCAATCTCATTTCTGAAGGCAACACTCAAGATTTTACTTCAGCCACATGTCCTAAAAATGGCAAAAAGCAGCCTATATTCAAGCCAGTTTATACAAAAGTTGATTCTAATTTGGCTGGTTGGGATTCTGATACAGCTGACCATACAGCTGATCAACTGAAAGCTAAACCTGCAAAGAAAAGAAAGTTACTGACAGGCAACCAGTTTTATTCCTCACAAAGTCCATGCACAGTGATTGGACTCAACAGCTCTCCTGAAGCTCCCTCATCCTCCAAGGGTAAGGGGGAGACACCATCTTCAACTGACGCCTCATTCCTTTTTGGTATCGCTGAATCCAAAACTGGTCCAAAACTTAAGTCGGACAGAAGGAGAAGTGAAAGATTGCAGTCAACACAGGTCAACAAATCCTATTTAAAGTCTAGAAGAAGATCTGTCAGTCAGAATTTATCTAGCAACGGCTCATTAAATGAGCAGTGTATAAATATTTCATTGGACGTGACTGCCAACACCAAAGTAGGTGAATGTACTCAGAGAAATACTTTGGGCACTTCGATGTCTGTCATGTATCCGAATGATACTTCCACGGACAGAAGCACAACATCCAGGTCAAGGCTCAGCATGGATGACTTTTCTCACAACAAAAAAACTTTGGTAGCAGCAAAGAAAAGGAGAAAAGAATCCCCCAGTGCCACTGTAAAGCAGGGACCTAGAAGCATGGCTCTTTCATCGGTCACGACAAATAGCAACGGCCAATTGAAACCAGGTGAATCTTCTGCCAAGGGAGTTAAGAAAAAGTCACTTCCAAAAGGATCCGCAACAATTCCCCAACCATCTCAGAAGCCTGTTAAGAGAAAAAGAGTTCCGAGTTCTAGCTCAGGTGGAGACACTGACACAAGTTTAAATAGGTCATCATCTGCACACAAGGCTGAAGGCACCCGGGCCTGTCTACGTCACGCCCGATCGCTCATTTTGGAACAGCCTCACAAGCTCATCAACAGAAAATTGCCTTATTCCCTTGTGGTGACAAGTCTGCATAGAGAGTAAGTTTTTCAACTATTTCAGACCTAATGATGGCAAGTACCATAAGTTAAATTTTTAAAAATAAATTAATGCTGACAGAGTCAAGAAAAACTGTACATAGTACTGGTAGAGGAATAAGTAACTTCACACATCATTTCGTCAGTTTTAATTTGTGAATTGTAGGGAGCCACCTAGAAACTGAATTTTAATTTTTTACTTTTGTTACAATATTACAGAGAGCAGGAGTTGACCTACTCTGTTGTGAAGAAGTTGGGGATCTTCCAACTCACCAACAATGTAGATTCTACAACCACACATGTTGTATGTGGCGAACCAAGACGCACTTTAAATGTTTTACAAGCTATAGCTCGAGGTTGTTGGGTTCTTAAAAAAGAATGGGTAATTTTTTTTTCCTTCAAAATTAATTTTTGTTTCCCTAGTTAATTAATTTAACAAATTTAAATAATGATTTTATATGATCCTGTCTTGATTTTGTGTCTCTGTTGATTTCAGGTTTTGGAGTCGTTGGAATCTGGTGAATGGCTTGAAGAGGACAAATATGAAATGGATGCAGACTTCCCCGCTGCCAAGGTTGATAAGATCTCAATTTTTAAAATTCTGATGTTTTAATTATTAGACTCAAACTTGTTTGTTTCATTTCTTTTCTGTTAGATCCTTAAAAAATGTATCTTGTTTTCCACTTAGTGGTACCGGTAGTTAACATTACATTTCTTTGTTTCAGAAATATTAAAAATAATATTAAGTGATACATCTATGTGAGACTTTGAAATTATATATTCTTTATTGTATAATGATTGGATGCGTCATAATCTGAACTAGTAATATTTGGGGTATGTTGATTATTTTTTTTTCTTCTAATTCTAAATTTTATTTGAAAATTTTTTATTTATTTTTTTTTCACTTAACAGAAATCTCGGCTTGAACGTCAAAAAGCTGGTGTCCTCTACAAGATGGATTTATTCTCAAAGAAGGGTCCAATCTACGTCTCTGATAATTGTACACCCAAAAGAACAGATGTGGTTCATTTGATCAACCTCTGCTGTGGCCACGTATGTGTTCTAGTTTTCATAATTTGTTTCAAAATCTGATCCAGGTATTTTTTGTTAATGAAATTTTCTTTGTGCTTATCTAGTCCATAAATTATATATACCAAAAGTATTCCCTCCTTTGTAGGTGACTGGTTCTAAAGTTCGTGCAGCTCTACACATTGGGGATAAACATGATCCAGAGAAAATTATGATACGTCCAACTTGGGTCTTAGGTAAGTCATGCCTTAACTTTACTTAGATTTATTTTGCAGCAACTTTTTGTATGTCTTAAGTTTTTTTTTAAACTCCTGTTGGACATGAAACATTGCTTAGCACCAAGGTTGCCCTGCCATGCTTGACATCATCTTCAGTTTGATGAGGACATAGACCACTGACTGAAGGCCTAACCTATGTTTTAGTACTGACCCCCACCACATTATAAGTTTACACATTTTAACATCTAATGTTATTTTCTATTCATGTTTACCTGCTCTCATGAACATTTAGAGAAAAAAGTTAACAAGGTATAGCACATCTTACATGTTCTTCACAAAATTGTTGTGTGTTAATAGGACATCTTACATGTTCTTCACAACATTGTTGTGTGTTAATAGCACATCTTACATGTTCTTCACAACAATGTTGTGTGTTAATGAACACTGTATATAAATAAATCTAAGATTAAGATCACAGCTCTATTTCTTCTCAGACTGCATAATGAAAATGGAGACTCTAGACGTGAGCTCAGAGCAGTACATAGTGCCTCCTCCAACAGCATCCTCACAAAGAGAGTGTAGTCCAGAGTTCTAGCCCGCAGTTTTGTTGTTCATAAATCTATGTCCAGTTGTTTTTGTGAATGAAATGCAAGCCCTGAACAGTTTACTGAAAGTTCTACACATTTTATAGATTGATGATGTCATTCAGGTGTGTAAAAACTCTTACTTCAACCCCATTGAAAGTATTTAAAAATTCAGTTCCTGACTCCTGTGCTATCATCATTTAATCAAATGTCTGATTTGCACACATTTTTAAAGCTTACAATCCGAGACTATTGGCCTCTCCGTTGAAGTAGTCATAGTTTCTTTTGGTATTGCCAAGGATCTTAATGACTAGCAGAAATGTGATAGTATGAGATTTCATATAGTATGGAATGTCATATCGTATGTCATTTCATGTAGTATGGGATTTCAATGAGATCAATTCTTTTGATAAATAAAACCAACTTCAAATACAGGTCTGGATTATTTCAAATAGTCCTTCTGATGAATTTGCTTGTTTTCAAAAGTTTCATGTTAATAGCTTAATTTTCCTACTGGAAACTTTGTTCCAACTCATTTGAAATGACCTTTTAACAATTTAAATCATTAAAAAAAACATATGTAACAATGTATAAAAGCAAAATATTTATACCGTAATTCATATTTATTGTTGATATATAGATTATTGTTAGATGTAGATAGACCTGGAATATAACATCATGCCTATTAGCAAAAGTATTGTCCTATAAAATTATGGTCCAATGTTCTGGTGCAATAACCTTGTTTGAACCTTGATCTAACTGAAATTTGATACCAATAAGTGCAACCTGGTATCTTTATTTCTTTTGGAAATAACAAATTTGTGACCGCAATATGTTTGAACCTGTATCTAACTGAAATTTGATATCAATAAATGCAACCTGGTATCTTTATTCCTTTTCAAATAACAAATTTGTTACGGGCATTATTATGATTTTTTAATTGGTGCTGTTCAACCAATATTTTCATATGAATGACGTTACCTCATCTGAAGACTGAACCCTATTATGTCATGTAATGTTTATGTGCCTTTTTAAACTCATAAAATCAAATTGATGAATAAAATTTGCTATCCCTGAGTGATATATACTGTCAAGATTAAAACTAGGTTGCAAGCAACTTTTTGTCAACCACTGTTGTGCTATGGTGACAATTTTTTATAAACTCATTTCGATGTGCCTTTTAAAAAAATAAAACTATTTTGCAACTTCAGTACCTGTACATGCAATCCATTCAACTTCAGTATGGTATATCACCCTATGCAACTAAAGGACTTTCAACAAATTGCTACAGAATAATGCATTTGCTCAATGTTTTAAATAGTATTTTACATGGCCAATTCTGTATTAGTGCTAAATTGCAATGTACTTATCTAAAGAGTTTATAAAATGTTTAATTGATGATCTATAAAATGTTTAATTGATGATCTGATTGTAATCACTAGATTCAAAGATTTTTAAATGATCTGATTTTGTGAGGAAAATGTTCAAATAAATTATTTGCTTCCTTTTAATCACAAAGGTTCTTATAAAAAAATTGTTTTAAGCTTTATGTACCTTTTCACTTGTAAATAAGAACAATTGAACATAACATCTTCTAATGAATTATTATTATTATTAAAGTGGTCTAATATAGCGCAGTACCCCAACCTAGGCCTAGGCCCAGTACGCTTCACATAAAAATTAGTAGTTACAGAAAATTATACATTTAAAAACTGCTTTGAAAAAAGATTGACCTCACCCACCAAGTACTCTCTACCACTGTCTATACATGGTGGGCACCCAGCAGCATTGAGCCTTGTTTATCACTCATCAGGGGGAGGGGGGGTGTGAGAATGAGTCTAGTAGAATTTGAACTAAAGTCTCCTGAGGGCAGTTTTGGAGACTTGTATGGTTGGTATATTGCGGATTTGTATTGTCGAAATCATTGAAACTTCTGTAAGTTTTACACCACTGTTGGATCTAAAAGACTTTAAGTAAAAAATGATATAACCTATTATTGCTGTGTTATAATATTTATATTTTACTTTTAAAAAGAACACCATTTAAATTGTATTTATTGCCAAACCACTGATATATATGTTTGTGCAGGCGCACTTGATCTGTAAAGCCAGTGCACTCGACAAAATTCGGAGCTCTCTAGAGTTAGAAACATTTGTTTCATTAAATATAATTAGTGATTAAATTCTTCGTCCTATTATGCAAGTTGTGAATTAAATGCATTGCATAGTTTATTCTGCACTGAGAAAAAACAAAGGGGACATCACAGTGGCGGAAATTAGTTTACATATTTTATAAAAATATTCAATTATGGATGACAACAGAAAATTAAATCGAGTCGGACGAACTATTTATCACTGATAGTGTGATGAGAATTGTTGTTATAACTTATCTCAAATGAGAATTTTTCTATCTTAATATGAATACGTCCAATGAGAATTGTTTATACATCTTAATATGTCCAATGAAAATTGTTTATAAATGTTTTGATGTTCAAAAATTGTTTATATCACGCTTTAAAGTTATTGTGTTCAAGATGAAATGTTTCTTTTCCGAACCTACCAACAAAACTCTTCTGTCAAACTACTAACAGTTAAATTGCATCCATAACCTCGGAACAATGCAATAGATCATAACCTCAGACCAATTCACCATTTCATAACCTCAGGCTGATTGACTATTTCAAACTAAAACTGTGCTGAATACATGAATGTGAAGTTTGAAATATAAATAATTTCACTAATTTCATACAAGTGTTTTCTACCGTTATAAGCAATAAAAGTTGTTTTTTTTAAATTTTACATTAGAATAGTCCTGCTACATCAGTCTGTGTGCTCTCAGTTGCTGGTCGCCAAAAAATTAACAATATAACATAATAGAAAAATTTAAAGAATCAATTCTCACCATTCCCTTTTGCAATCCAGAAAGCTCGTCTCTAAATTTGAGAAGCGCTGAAATACAGAGGCACAACGCTAATTTGATAAAAAAAACTTCAATGCTAGATCCTGCACATCATTCACGGTATTTAAATATTTATATAAATCTATATGGCATCCTTCCATCATTACGAGACAATGGAGTAGCTATGGACACTTCATCAAATGGCTTACTATACTATTAGGTATACTTTACATAAAAGGATCTGATATCAGCAGCATGCATTCTCATGACCCCTTTTGGTCAGGCAAGAAGCCTTTCAGGTTAAAACTAATGTAATTTTGAGAACTTTTTTATGACATAGATCAAATATTTGAACTCTGAAACTTAAAGTATGTATCACATTTCTAAGTGTATTTTAACTTATTTCTCCTATTTTTTTTTTTTTATGGAAAACATTCTTAGATTTATGTTACATTGTTTTGAAAGTGTTCAATTATTCTGTTGTCTACATTGTTTTGGAGTTGTTTCCTATCTGTTTACCTATCTGTTGTTTATTAAAAGTTTACATTTTATAATTAAAAAATAAATTGTTTTTACCCGTTTCACGCTTCACTAAAATTTGTTTGATGAAATACTATGCAGTCTCAACATCAATATCAACATCAAACTCAACATCAAACTCAAAGCAATATTTTGAAGAGTTCACATCCTCATTCTTGAATCTCTGAAACCTGCTAAAGCAGCGGTTCTCAACCTGTGAGTCCAACAAACCATACACAGGGGTCGCCCATTCCATCGGAAAACACGTGTTCATGAAGTATAAAATAAAATAATTTTATTGTTGGGGGTCACCACAACATGAGTACCTGCATTAAATGGTCGCTGCATTAGGAAGGTTGAGAACCACTGTGCTAAAAGTTTGTCAATTTTTTTTCTTATTTACCTGCACCAGTTTTCAATAAGGGAGGAGTTGATTTATTCCAATAACTTGGTTTTGATATTAGAGGATGCATTGTTATGTATCATAAACTGATTGCCATGTAATCTCATATGGTAGAGTCTGGTTATTTGAGGCAACATATGAGAAAATCTCATATTAACAAATGGCATCAGTTCTTATGGTGAAAAGGGAGACAAAATATTTCAGAACTGATGTGTGCATTCAGTGCATGTGGACCAGACAAGTCCATTATGCCAGTTTGTCAGTGTTAAAAAAATAGATTGTGAAACAAGATACTTTTGGGCTTGAATTAAAAAGACATGACATTTCAAATAAAGGACTAGTCCCCAAGAAGCCTGCATCAGCAGATGAGAGAAACCAAGACACAACAAAGAATTAGAAATTAATGTTTGTTTGAAATCAGAAAACACTACTGTGAGATCTTCAACTTCAAACAAACAAACAGATTTTTACACTTCTTATTAAAGTCGTTCTTGCCACATCGTGGGTCACTTTTTTTTTACATGTTTTGTATATAGGGTATATTTTCTAATCTATATTCTTGATTTATAATTTATATAGAAATTTATATGTTGTTACAATTACGTAGGTTTTAGAGTGTAGAAAGTGTTTTAGAACATAGCAAGTGTTGATAAGAGGGTGAGGGAAAAGTTAAAAAAAGTGTGGGAAAAGTTAAAAACAATGTGGGAGAGATTTATAAGAGTGTGAGGGGAAAGTTAAAAACAGTGTGGGAGAGGTTTGTTATAAGAGTGTTACAGAGACTTTGAATAAATCTAAATAATGATAAGAAATGAAAAATAAGATTGCTACTTTCAGGTTTCTTGTTTATCATGGGGAAGGAACCTAAGCCCTGCAATAGAGGAGGGACCACCACCCCAATAGAGGAGGGACTACCACCCCAATAGAGGAGGGACCACCACCCCAATAGAGGAGGGACCACCACCCCAATAGAGGAGGGACCACCACCCCAATAGAGGAGGGACCACCACCCCAATAGAGGAGGGACCAC